ATGAACCCGAATGAGAACTCGATGTTCCACTCGCACCTCGATTCACCGGGGTCAGTTTAATTAAATGTGCAACCGCATGAAGCGATCGGATGGTGATGAGGCGGTGGTCGTAATTTGAGTGGTCCAAACAGATGTTTCCCGGCCACGATAACATCAGAATGAAAGCAAGTTAAATAAGAAGCAAAGTAGCCATATGATATCAGATGTGATTTGACTATAGAATGCCAATATTTTTTTTTATGAAAGCAGATATTGCAAATTATATTGCCACAGTAACGCGTTAGAGTTCGTATAAGGGAAGATAAGTGGTAGTATGACATTCAGTGTGTAGCTATTGCGGTGAATTTGGTGAGCTGTGCCATTCTGAGTTCTGTTAAGTGAGATCAGTAGAGATTATCATGTAACCGAAACCATGATCAGTGACACTTGTATCGATCGCACATTCTTCTCTTCTGTGTTCAACAATATTACTTGCTCTCCGTAGGTGGACAAATGGAATGAAAGCGATTAGGAAAAAGGCTTGATTCGGCACGACGTTCGATAGTTGATCGAATCAAAGCAACTTTGAAACCATGTGAACTTCTGAATTTGAATAAATTCTCATTCAGTTCATTCCAGGGCACAATAACTCTGTAGGAAAATGAACCCCTGAAAGCCGTAGTGTTACCTCGACCAAGATAGAGCTTATAGGGGTGGCCCCTAGTAACGCCAAGAAGTGGGGACATACGGAACACATCAGGGAGTTTTAGTTCAACTTCACCGGTCGTCATCTTATACAGAAATACTAGATCGGCAACCTTTCTACGTTGTTCTAGAGATAAGGCTCCGAGTAAGCGTAACCGTTCCTCATACGACAGTCGAAAAATACCCTTCCTTGCAAAAATGCGGTACGTAAAGCGCTTCTGAACTGACTCAATCTTGCATATGAGATCAACCTTATAAGGGGACCACAATGGAGAGCAATACTCAAGCAGCGGCCTAACGTAGGCAGAGAATAGTTTGAAGAGGATATTGGGATCACGTGTTTGGAAAGCTCTCAATATGAAATTAGCTCTGGCGTTAGCATTGGCGGCGATGCTGGAGATGAAACATTCAAAGTTTAGTGTGTCATCATAGGTGATGCCAAGATCACGTATTTGTCTTGACTGCTGAAGAACAGACTCACCTAAATGGAACACAATCTCTGGATGATTCTTGCCTATAGACATAACAACTGTCTTTTGTGAAGAAATGTCAAGGTCCCATTCGGTGGCCCATCGATGTAAGGCATTAATACCTTCTTGGAGAAGCCCAGCATTGTTAACCGTATACAACTTGGAATCGTCGGCATACATTGTTACGAAAACACCTGGTGGAAGCGCATTTGGCAAGTCGTTAACGAAAATAAGAAACATCAAAGGTCCAAAACAGCTTCCTTGGGGGACCCCGCTAGTTGTGGGATACAAATCGGATGCCGCATCATTTATAACGACGGACTGGTATCTGTTGTTCAGGAAAGAACGTATAAAACGTAGCAGACACCCCTTGATACCCAGCTTCTCAGCTTTACTCATGAGGAGAGAGATGGAAATAGAGTCAAAAGCTTTTTTGAAATCGACGAAGCAAACAGATATGAAGTTGCCGGCGTCTAACTCTTTCTGCCAATGTGTGATCGACTGAATTAGTGCTGTGGAAGTGGAGCGTTTACTAAGGAAACCATGCTGAGCTTCAGAAAGAAGGTTATTTTCCCTTAGATATGATATAATGTGATGGCAAAGTATTCTTTCCAATACCTTACTGGTGCAACATGTCAAGCAGATAGGCCTATAGTTTTCCACTAAATTACGGGGCCCTTTTTTATGAATGGGACGTACATGTCCGATTCTCCATATGTCCGGGGTTTCGCCGAGCAATAAAAATTTATTAAAGAGCAAGGCTGAAGGTGCAGCCAATCCCAGGGCAGCTTTCTTGAGAAATATGTACGGAATGTGATCGGGCGAGGTAGAATTTCTATTAGGCAACTTTTTGAGCGATTCATACACCGTATCAGTACTAATGTGAACCCAGTCAAGACCGCAGTGAAGGGGGGAAGCATTGGTATGAGTTGTGCGTGTAATTGGTTTTTTGTAGACAGAACGAAAATATTTCGCGAAAGCAGATGCCTTTTCGAAATCACTTCGTGCCGGTCTATCATTGCTTTCGCTAGTAACAAGATCGGGGATTTCCTCAGATACTTGTAGCCTTTTGTTGCAGTAACTGAAGAAATGCCTCAAGTTCTTAGCCTTTGCCAATTTTTCTTCTTCAGCAACTGCTAAGCGAAATGTTTCACGTCTGAGTTTCTGAGCATATTTAGCAAATTTGGAGCGTCCGAAACGCTCTATGTTCGCATGATAGTAATCCACTTTTGCTCTCAAACGTTGTATTTTCTTAGTAGAGAATATACGTTTAGTTTCGGATCGAGATTTTGGAACATACTTATGGATCAGGGACTGACATGTGGCGACAAACCGAGAGTAGGCCTCGTTCACCGTGCAATAATTGATAAGCGGTACCCAGTCGATGCTGAGCAAGTGTTGAATTATGCTATCAAAGTCCGCCCGGGCAAAAATTAGATGAGGGACGAAGGGATCGGAGTGGATACGCGTAGACTGAGATAGTTGTATTGTAATACAGCAATGGTCAGAGGTACTGAAGGGGGGTAACAATGAGGTTGAATCAATCATATCAATATCCGAAACTAATACAATATCAAGAGTGTTCGAACCAAGAGTAGGTCTATTAACTACTTGTTGGAGATTGAAAGCGGTGGTGAAGTCAAGGAAAGCTGACGAAGATGGTGTGTGTAGGCCGCCACGATGTCTGAGAGAACTCCATTCTATATAGGGGAAATTGAAATCTCCCGTTAACAAAATTTTGCACCTATTGTCTATGAAAGAGTGGTGTAAGAAGGCTAAAAGGTCGAGGAAAGCAGCGGTCGCACAAGAGGGACTCCTGTAAACAACGGTTACAATCAATGTTTCCGAGCCAATTTCGGCTTGAAAAAGGACAACTTGGCAGAACTCAGAGAAATTCATTGTGGCAATAGGGGTATACTGTACACCCTTGTGAATAGCAGCAAGAACACCTCCACCCGGTCTGTCTCCACACCTGTCACATCTTAATATGGCATATTCGCCCCCAGGGCTAAGAGTTGCATCATGAATGGAGTCACCTTTGCACCAAGTTTCTGTTACTAGTACAGCTAAGTAATTTTTCTCGAGGACTGCATTAAACTCAGGTATCTTATTTGTTAGTGAACGCGCATTGAATAGTAATATTTCATTAATTGAATTTGAAAAAGAATCATCCGATGTATCAGTAAACGGGGACAAGGAATTTGTACCAGTAGTAGCCTTATCCTAGCGGAGCAGTGGGGGTTCTCGGTCAACAGTCGATTGTTCTTGCCTAAGGACCCCGCGAAGATTCCCAGATGTAGGTGTGATTGATCGAACGACAGTTTTATCACAATAGGATCCCGGTACGTGTTGACTTGTTTGTTCCTGATCGCTCAGAGCACTACTATCAATATGGCCGATATCATGATTATCACGAGGTAGCTCGCGTGGGTTTCTGAGCTTAAATTTTAAAATCTCTGACGACAAAAACAAGTTTTCCCTCTTGACGATTGAGTAACCCGGCCTTTTTACGTAGGAGACGATCATAATCTAACTCTTCTTTTGTATAATCCCGCCTGACGTATGAATGGACAAATTTTTTTGTCAGTGAGAGGCGCCCTTTTCTCATGAATTCCAAAAGTCTGTCCCTCAATTCCTGTGTTCTTAGGGAAATTTTAATGATTCTCGGGCGACGTAAGTCATTTTTTCGAGTGTGCGGGAAACGATCAATTTTGATGTTACCTGATCTCCATTCTTTGACCAGTTCATCATCACAAGAAGAATTAACAACCTCGTTCAAGGCTTCTCTGTCAAAGGCCGAAGTTTCAGCCTCGTCTTTGCCTTCATCGATGCCATACCACACGATCTTGCACTGTTTGTCGGCAACATTTCTTGAGTCAGCATTAAATTTGACTAATGTACTATACAGCTCGCTACGAGAAAACTCATTGGTAGATCTATCGTTTTGGAATCGATTTTCAAGCATTTCAATCTTTCTAAGGATTGCGTTTTGAGATTCTTGCATAGCGAACAATAAGTCGTACAAGCGGTCAAACCTGGAAAGGTAGTCGTCCCATCGCTTGAACATTGTTTCCAGCCAAGGAGGCGCTTCCACATTCCCGTTGCATTTACATTTCTTCGGAGCCATAAGAGCACACGGAACAACCAACCGCACGTGGTGATGTATCAACGTGAAGTTTATTCGTGTGCATAAGGCACACGTAAGAAGAAGCTCCATTTTTTCAACAATGGTAATTAACCAGCGAATCCCCTACACTGAGAGACATTTGCCGCTTAGGGAGAAAATTTGTCAGTTGTTCACTTTTCGCGCTTTTTCCGGTTCCACACTGGCTATAGCCTCCCCCCTTCCTCCCTCCCCCGTCCTGTTCGATGAAAAATTTTCAAGAGAGAAAGTAAAAAA